ATTGAAAGGAATATTTCTTAGCTGACTACCAGTGAAAGTGTAAGATAATTCTGCTCTCTATATTTGCAGATGTTCTGGCATGGTCTCTAAGGAAACTGATACTTGAGCAGAATTATTCCTTACAAGTAAATGTAGTCATACTGCATTTTGACAAATTCCACAACTGATTGTTCTGCTCTGAAAGACAAATGTCAAAATTATGTAGGACTGCATTTACCTGTAAGTGCTTACAAACATTGCTCAAGACAATTGCATCTTGGGAAATGTTTTTATAGCTCTGGCAAATACTCTTTTGCAAAGTGTAATTCATACTATTTAAATTATCAAGAGTTAAAATAGTGTATGAGAAAGCCTATATCCTTATTACTCTCTTAAGTGTTCTGCTTATTCTTACTTGTTTGGCAAGCAAGAATACATGTTTGTCACCTTGCCTTTCAGTCTGGAAAAACATGCACCTATTGATTATTATGACAGGTGGGAGACGTAAGTGTTGGACCCCTTTAACTAATAAGTTAGTGTATGCACAATCAACATTTATTTTCTCTTAATATCAAAAGCCTGAACATAAACCGCTTAGCTGCCTGTCTTCCAAAAGCATATAAACGGAAGGATGGATGTACCAATTGCATTAGCATGAATTAAAATTAAAATATGCACTGAATGTGAGGGAAAAAAATCACTGTGTTCATTCAACACCTCCCCAGCAACACCACATAAAATCAAATATGTAATTTCTACATCCAACAGCATATATGCCCCAAAAAAATGATAAATATTTTATTGATAATTTAGTGAAATTCTAAATTCTGCTAACTTTTGTCTTCTGTAGAAAGAATTTACTTTGTTCACCTGATTCCAGATTGACACTGTGGAAGCCTTAATCCCATACTCTATAAGCCACATACATCACATTTCTAAGTCCCAATTAAAATGTTAGTTTGGAAAACAGAGAACACAAAGCAAATAATTTCCTGCACATGGTACATGATGGGTTTCCTGCACCCAGATTGATTTGATGTTATCAGTGTGTGTTAATTAGTGAAAAGGAGATAATCACATAAATTCTGTTTTTTTAAAGTGCAGGGACATACCTTATCACTGCACAATACTTCCAGGCTGCATAGGGAAAGGCAATTTTATGACACAGATCGATGAAAAAGTGCTTCCAATGAAGTTAGCATCAGAGAGTTTACCTAGCAGGACTCCCCTTCACTACTCTACAGCTTTCCAAAATCATATCAGTGTCTTTAGATGTTGGTTTATACTACAGTAAAACCAGACAGAATGCAAAGCAAATATTTATGCATTCTTAGGAAGTATGAACTCTTAATTAGAGTGTGACCTTGCCTATTACTCTGCTGTTTCATAGAATTTAGGGTGATGATCTATGATCCTTCTTGGTCATTTGCAGGTAGGTGAAAATGTGCAGCTGGCTGACAACAATTCAACTCTGACTCAAATACAGACACAGTTCACACCTCCATCCCATGATTTCATCAGAAAGGTCCATTCAGAGCAACAAAGCCCTCTAATGCTCTACCCTCAGAGATTTGCCATCATTTCTTGTCAAAATTTGGTTTCATAGCTTGAGTCCTCTGGTAACTGCAGCAACACAATTTCTGCATTAGAGTTCTGCTGCCTTCAGCCAGAAAAAGACACAGAGTGAATGAATTTACCTCAACTGTTAAAAGATTGTGTAGACATGACCTTGATACAACTCTTCCCCCATTCTTAGGCCTATGAAAACTACTCATCACAACTTGTTCACAGAAGGCTTAGAAAAATGGAATGTGCCACATTTTTTGAATGAGTGTAGTGGAGCTTATAGATGATTTCCATGCTTCCTCCAGCTCATTCAGTCCCTAACATTCCTATATTTCACCTTATAACCTTGTGGGGTTTTTTATAGAATTCCTTTTCCATATAGTACTATGTGAAAAGGATGCTGTTGTACTTTTTGCTATTGCACCTCTTCATCAACTGCATTATTCTTAATAATTCTTAGGAAAATTAAAATTAGGGTAATTGATAGAAAATTTCCAGTACAATTTCACATTTACTGTATAAAGCTCACTCAGAAGTCCATTAGTCTGTCTGGTATAATTGCAGCTCACAGAGTGGAGGCAAGTCTGAGCCACTCCAGGAGCTGCTATACTGGTAGCTATAAACTGTAAAAATTATGTCAGGCCAAGAACTAGACTGGAACCTTCTAGCAGATATTTAATTGCATTTCAAAACAAACAAACAAATAATCTCCCACTTTGTGTTTGTTTCTTGACCCACAAGAGCTCTAGTCACACTACCCAAGTTGAACTTGCCATGGTAAGAAGAGAATAGGTTCAAGACTATCTAAGGAACCTGAAGATGCACAAGTCCATGGGACTTGATGAGAGGAATCCACAGGCCCTGAGGGAACTGGTGGATGAAATGAGCCAATGGCAGTGTGTGGTACTTAATTGCCACCTGGGGTTCAACCATGGCCCATCTCTTTGTACGTCTTTGTAGGACATACAGTTTGATTCTGTTCAGACCCACAATAGTCACAAAAGTCAGTTACAGAGACCTCCACTAGGTAATTCAAACTTGTTCTCATAGAATTCTCACAAAGAACTGTGATTCTAACAGTATAAACTGCCTGGAGATACCCATATTTCTCCCTTGATTTGTTTGTTTTTTATTGTAGAGGGAGTGAGCTTGACCAGATATCTAATTCAACAGAACTTAAATCAGGTGTGGTTAATGCTCTGATGATGGGAACAATGAGCTTGAAATGTACAGTATCTGTTCTTTCACAGATAAGGACAACAATGGCTAAATGAAATGAAATCATGGAACACTTTTTAATATGCTAAGTATTAAAAATCCCTGTAAGTGTCTTTTATCTTTGCTTTCATGTATTTTCCCAGTCACTAAATGCTAAGTGGTAGCATGGGACTACTTATACTTTAAATTTAAAGTGCATGCTCAGTTCCACTACACACAGTGCTCCAGTTTCCATTTTCAGCACATTTTAAAAGATGTGAAGTCATTGAAGAAAATCAGATCACCATAATAATCTGAAGTAACATCAATAACAAGTGAAACCCCGAGACTTCTGCTCAGCTCAGAAAAAGGAGTCAGAATTCTAAATGTTCTATTCCACCCCAGTACAACTGTGCTGAAATAGACAGACATGGAGACGTGTTCCTCCATCACTCCAAATAACTTGTGTGAGATCAACTTAGTCTTACTGCCCTAATCAAAGGTCCAGCACCTACAATTTCCCATTACAATAGACAAAGCTCTTACAATATGAAGACTTTCTTCTTACCTTCCACATCTGGCTGCAAAACTTCTAAGAACAGTCTGAAGCTGTTGGCTAAAGCATGCAACCCCAGTACTTTCATCACTTTTGTACCACATATGCATGTATGTATATTTGTGTGTATTAATAGATCCCCCTCTGGCATCATTTAAAGGCACAAGAAATTATTTCTGCTCTGCTGTTGCTGTTTGCATACTAACTAATAAACAACACCTTCATAGAAGCAAATATCCACATAAAAATAGCATATTTATATTGACTCAAAGGGACTTCCTGTATCAGGTAGATTTCAGTATCATATTAGTTTATTAAGCAGGGTTTGTATCTCTAAGAACTGTGAAATTCAGTAGAATATAGATTTTTCTAAGACAGGATTAACATGAGGGTTCTTGTGAACTGCTGTCTCATTCAGGCTTGAAATTTAGCATTGATCTTACTGCTGTTTATTTTTTCAGACAAGTGGCACAACCATATTGTCACTGAACACTTGTTCTTGGGCAGGCTTTGATAGTGTAGCTGATTGAGCTGGGAAAGATCCTCCGTGGGGCTCTCATCCATCTCATCCTTCTAGCTTTTATTCCAGAAACTGAGATGGGTAAAGAGTTTTGGTTTTATTCTTTTGGACTTGAAGCCACCAGTAGATCATATATCTGAGCTACACAATCTGAAGAAACTGTGCTTGCTGGCAGTTCCAGTTCAAGAAACAAAAAAATAATTTCTGGCTTTGCAGCAGATTAAAAATATATTACCCAACTCAGACACAGCACAATTTGGGCACGATTCCAGTGACAATTTCAAGAGAAATACAGTATGTAGTTAATCATCAAGGCAGCCTTGCTGAGTTCCACTGACTTTTGATTAAGCAAAACACAACAAACATTGTTCTTCCAATCAGTGGCCTCTACCTGAAATCAGTGTTTCTGTATTACATTGGATTTAAAAGCCCCTTATCAAGAGAAAATTCTATTTCATGAAAGACCTACTATGCTTGTGTTTCACGCTGTACTTCACAATTCTTGCCCTTTAAATTATGAGCACTTTGGAGACACAGAAGGACTGTCACCGTGCTTCTTCTCATATTCATTCTTCCTGTTGTTTCTAGTAAAACATCCATTGTAAATACACTCAGTGGGTCAATTTTGTTCTCACTTATGAAGTCCACTTAACCTTCCTAGGTTCCAGGGAAAGCATTTTGTTTTCACTAATGATGCAGGAACATTTCTTAAGAAAGCTTCAAGGAGAGAGGTTTTAAAAATGTATTTAATTAAGGTCTACACAGGATAAACATTATCAATGACAGCCTGCCCAATCCCTATACTTTATATTAAGGAACATGCAAAGAACCTTGTACATAAAGGATGAAGAGTTTGAATGTTAGCCTCAGTATCCACTGGGATGTGTGAAAACATACAGAATTTCCTTTTTCAATTGCATGGAAAACACTATGAAACCTTGATTTCCAGGAGTCGTATGAGTCAATGACCTCATGAAGTTCCCATGTCCATCAAAGTATTTTTCTTTCTGCCTATTCTATTCAGGAACAATAAATATCCCACTTCTATATGTTACAAATGCACCCAAAGTGATCTTCACCATCATGAAAATCAGTTTCCTATATTTTGAAAACCTGTTAAAACACACTTCACATAGTCGCAGAATCTCACCTGCACTACAAAAATGGTTTTTTGACACATACCTTCTTTTTGTTGGTGGAACAAATGTAGAAATTGTCAATAACAGTGGCAATCCCAGGCTGTAGATTCAACTTTGTGTATAATGTCCCAAAATCTGAAGACCTGAAAGAAATCAAACATCTGTAAGAGCTCTCTTCTAAAGACTTCAGCATTGAAACTCTGAAAAGAAAACCCCCGTTTGACCATTTCCAATGCTTCTCTGCCATCCTTTTGTTCTTTCCAGTGCTCATTAGCTACTGAAAGAAACCGGCTACTATTAAGAAAACTAGGTGCTAGGTTTGAAAAAAAACCTGGCCAGTTCTGTCTGTACTTTGAAGTTCTCTGCAGTGCTGGTTTATTTTTTTCTGTGCAGCAACAGAAGCCTGACATGTACACCTTTCCATCACCACCCACAAGGTGGAAAAAAAGAGCTATGAAGAGCACAGGCTCATTGGCAAGTACTAACAGCACTTCCTCAGCTATGCAGAAAAAGAAGAGTTGACTTCAGAGCTGTTTGTTGCATAAGAGAAGAATTTGGCCCGAGATCTGGAAGGCTCACATTAGACCTCTAGCAGACTCAGTACTGGATAAAGGTATCCTATTGACTCCTCCATCTCCTTCTCAGATCACTAAATTTTGAATTTAAAAAATGAAAGTCGGTATTTGGCCATCAGTATGTCACACACACATCTCCATCAGTATTTCAAATGTGGGCACTCTGCAGCATTTGTTCCATACTTCTGAAAAGCCGGCAGTCTTTTCAAAAATGGCATCCAAGCTCTGCAGTTGTATTGCCAATGTCAATTATAAAAAGAACAGACAAGTAAAATGCTAGTATAAAGAAAAGTTAGTGAAATTCAAAGCAAGTCACATCCAAATTTAAATCACTTTGGATGAAACCTTGCTTGTTCTGTTTAGGATCAAATTGTACCATATGCCCCCTCCATATTTACAGTTACTCATTTTGCATTTGGAAAGGGACTCAGACACATCTAAGGCATTTGTCCCTTCTTCATCATTCAAGCAATCGGAAGCATTCAAAAACTCTCACATCCAAGAGAGACAAGTATGTCCCTCCCAGTGTGCCACTGCACTGCCTGGGCAGTGATTTCTGCCCTACAGTCCCTTTCTACCGTGTTCATTGTTCCCCAGCAGGCTCTGCTCCTCATGCTCCTCATGCTCCTCACCCAGGGCAGTCACTGCTGAAGTCTGCAGGAGCATTACTGAGTGCAATGAGAGAGAACAGTGAAAAACCAAATCCCTGTCAGAATGTGTACGCATTGAGAAGTAACACACTGCCTGAGGTCTCCTCCAAGCCATGTGAGGCGGGTTATTCCCTGAAGGGCTGGTGCCCACAGCAGGCTGCCACGAGCATCCCACCTACGTCCCAGTGCCACCCAGAATGTCACTGAAGTTGGAGGGCACGCTGTATGAAGCCAGAGGCACCTCCTGTGCTTTCACAATCCAGTTTCCACAAGATACAGGAACCTTCAGCTGGTGTCATGGAGCAGCTTTCTGTATCTTTGGCATCACCAAGCATAGTGGGCAGACAGTGATATGCCTGGAAAAAGTCCTAAGGAATACCAAGAAAGGTTCAGCTTTGCCTTGTTTTTCTTCCTTCTCCATCAGTTAAAAACCCAATTGGTCATAAGACTATGACACTCAGGCCATTATCACAGCCTACAGCTGAGAGTTTAACCATTTCATAGCATTATCTGGATAGATCTGAGCTGGGTTTTTTTTCCCCCACAATGTTGCTTTCTCTGCAGATATACAGTAATTCATTAGAGAATTAACTGAATCATAGCAATCCAATTTTGACAAATATGTAGATATCAAACAAATACAACTGCAATGTACAACTGGGTGCTCAGCACAGAAATAATTCAAATTCTAAGTGGAATAGGATGGACAGTGGTAAACCTAATTTGTCAGTGGTGTTTGACAGAAAGAAATTAAAGCAAAGACTTAAAATACCAACTTCAGACACACGTAATGAAACCATGCAGAACAATATATGATGGAAATATAACCTAGTCTATTCTCTTTGAGGGAAGAATATCAGGTTGATGGCTAGCCCAGTAATACCATCATGAAACAATTCTCTGAACCTTAAAGATGATTCAATTTACTTTGAAGAGGCAGTTCCAGGATTAATACAATGGGACCACTGAAGAGTGACACCATGCGAGGGACACCATGGAAACTGTGTCAATGTGTGAAAAGAGTCCAGGCAGGAAGCCCAAAAAAGATAAGTAAGTTCCAAGATAAAAAGTTCCAGTCCAAAACTTTTGCTTCTAATTCTCATGACTTATAGAAAGTACTGCATAAAAAGAATGAGGTTTTAACAAGAAGAGAGCACTAAGATAACTACGGCATTTTCAGACAAATGTAGTAAAATTATACAGTCAAAAACCTTTTTTTTTTTTTCCCCCAGGTAAAAATTAGCAATCTCAAGGGAAAAAAAAAATCCAGTTCCAGCCTGAGAAAATAGGCAACTGTATCTCCCAAAAAGTACACCATGTCTAAGCAGGGAGATCATGACTGGAAGGTCTGTGGATCTACGGAGAAAGGTATTCTGACTTCCAAATCTTTTTCACTCTAGCCCAGATTTGAGAGTGCCCAGGAATGTCAGCTATTCTTTGAGACATTCATGCAGAAGAGTACATAGTTCAAGGACATCATTCAAGAGAGGCACTGTACAAAATAATTGGTTTTCCAAATCGACTACAATCCATAGAAAACAGGTCACCTCGACTTTTTCACCTAAGATATAACTTCCAAGTTCCTGACTCTGTGTATATAAAGAACAAGAATTTTGTAGCATGCAGCTAGAACAGAATATCCTTTAATGGCACTACTGAGCTACAGACAGGGTTGGAGGGGATGAATTCTACTATCCCAGTACACGCCTATTTCAATAAATATTTCAAATGTACTTTGTACAAAATTAAGGAGAGGAGGAATCCTTCATGATTTTCCAATCTTAGTGAGATTTTTTTTTCCGTTAGGAACCAAACTCATGATGTTTCAAGAGTGTTAAGGAGATGGGAAAACCCCACATGAGTAATCTTTTTTTATCTTTTTTTACATACCCTCTTTCCTCACTAAAAATCATGAAAAGATATTTCAAGTTATAATGGAAAAAGGATACACATGTACCTGATGAGAAGAATACAACTTCCTCCTATACCATGGTTTATCTGAAGTGGCAGCACAACAGTGGAACTCCATAAACCAGAGCAAGAAGTGTACAGACTGCCTTTGAAAAGAAGGGTCTGACCTGCAGTTCTGACTGATTTGGACACAGTTAATTAGGATTTTGGCTTTATGTCAGACATCTGAGAGGAAACAGAAAGCTATACACAGGCTGCATCCTGCTGCTGTGTATCCACCTATGCACTACAGGCACAAGGATCTTTCTTCACTGAGAAAAACTCAGTGGAGCATTCACAGGAAACACATCTTCCTGTACTCAGGTGATAGAACCATTGGATGGTGGAACAGGATTATTCACATACTGATGCAGACATCACACAACCTGTGTGGTTGGGTAGGAGTTCTCCAGAAGTAATGTACATCTTTCTGCTGAAATGTGTGCTATTCTTATTTTTTCCTTTTTATTTATGAAATAAATCAGTTGCCACTGTAAGAACAGCATGTTGAGATAAGAGTCCTCAAAATCATGCAATGATATTACAGCACAGACACAATTAGGTCTTTTTAGCTTAATAGTGTTACCTAAAAAAATAGTTGGGAAAACTTCCAAGTGGTAGAGAAATGTACCCTGATGAAATAAAACCCCCAAAGCCCCTAAGCTCTGTGTAAAATTTGGGTCTCATCCTCAAAAATGTAACTTTTTTAGATTTGAGCTAAAATAAATCTATGTCTAACATAATTTGGAACTGTACCTAAACATTGGATCTGGATATCGTCCAACAGAAATATTAAGAAAGAAGAAATTTAGCAGATACCAAAAGAGACATGAACCAAATGTTTGCCTTTCTGAACTTCACTATCATTATAAAGCTCTCCCGTGGTGACTCACACCTATGATTCAACATTGTTCATTGTTAGTTGTTTTTCCAGGATACATTTTCAAATAGATATTTTAAGATATATAAGAAAAATTGAAATTAATATAATAAGATGTTAATGAAGATTCTTAGAGATGAAAATTGCATTCCCAAATTACATGTAATACCCAAAGGATCAACTGCAAAAAAAAAAAAGCTTCCTTTTATTTTTTAAATGAAGAGACAGACTACAAAGAGAATGGTTGGAACACTTAACACACATGTTCATCAGATTTCCTCTACTTTTTCTTCTTGAAGACTAACTCGAGATCCATTCTAGTCAAATGAGTCATATTGTACAAGCTCCATTAACTTAAAATCCTGGAAGACAACAATGAAGAGATTTCAAATGACTCATAGATTACTTAACTAGTGAAACAAAAAAAAAAAAAAAAAAAGGTCTTTGAAGGAAAAGAATACAAAAGATGGTTTAAATAACTGGTAAATTGTTGAAAAAAAGATTCAATTGAGATGCACATTAGAGAATGAAGGAAGAGTGTATCTGTATGTAAAAGTCACTTGAGTGCTTCCCACTTAATTTTCTCCAGACTCTATTGCAAATGCTGTCTTCCCACCCTCCCCTCCTTTCAGTCAGCAGAACAGTCCAAGATTTACAGCATGAACTTTAAAATGCAGGAGGAATTATTTTAGGTTCTTGCTCTGTGACAGACTTACATCTAACAGTAGGATTCCCTTTGTGCTCTGGTCCCTCACCTGAATAATAGAGACAACGCAGTCGACTACCTCAAATGTCTGTAAGGAAAATAGATACTGCAGAGGAATGAAGAACTGGCTGATGGAGTATCTAAAACAGATACATCAGAGGTTACAACAAGTACTGAGACAAACCTACTGAAAGGAAAGAAAACAGAGGAACATCATTAAAGAAGTGAAAAACTAACTCATCTTCTGCACTTAAACAGCACAGAAACCTTCAAGGGCTTTTACACATCCGATGTGGAAATTGCAGAGGCTTTGGTTAGCCTCATAAAATTCTTTCAAACAGAACCAAAAACCTCCAAAAACCTCCAAAACCCCAAAGCCTTT